CAACAAATAGATGGATGTTTCAGAGCCTTCGCAAGGTAATAAATTTCTTCAGCCGATCAAAACCATATGTGTTCTTGGTGGTTCTAGACTGGTAAGTTTTTCTCAAAATGTTGATATTGTGAGTCAGTTAGTAAGGGATATGGGAAATCAAAAAATCACTTTACTGTATGGAGGGACTAGCATCACTTTCTTTGATAATCTTTTATTGGCCGGAAAATGTTTTGAGATAGAAGTGAAAAGTATCATACCTTTTCATAGAGCTTCAACAAGGGTCGTCAAGGATTCCATATGCATGATGCTAACTCATTCTATTCATGATTGTATGATGGATATGGCGAACAAGAGCGATGCATTTATCATTCTTCCAGGCGGTTATGGAATGCTAATGACAATGTTCATTCTTGCTTCTTGGGCAGAATTGAAACTTTATAACAAGCCGATAGGTCTATTGAATTTTAATAACTTTTTTCCTGGTTTGCTTGGATTTTTAGACCAAGGAGTATATCAAACCTTTATATCTCCTACAACAAGAGAAGTATTCAAATTTGCAGATACGTCTGGTGAGCTTATCAAAAAGCTCCAAGAATGCATCACATTTCAAGATTATGTGGAAACACAATGGGTCAAACGAAAAAGAGCTTTTGATCCTATAGATCTCTCATTATGAACCCATATGACAATAATGGGCGGCAGAGTTACGGAGTTTTATACTCTCGAGACGCACCCTTCTTTTATGGGTTCTATTATGTAATATTTGCGTATTTCGTATTTATCGAGTATGTACTGCCTCTTCTCCATATTTCCATCATGTGCACTTTCTGTACTTGTTTCTTATTAATAATAATATCAATTTTGCTTTTCCATAAGATAAGTGTGTAGTACTTCATGACTACAATTATTGTCATGTGTGCTTCTTCTGGAGCACATCATTGTAATATCTATATGATCTCGTATCTCAATGTGATTTCGTCATCTGATATATTCCCTTAGTCTCATATAATATATTGAGAAATCATTTTGTATGATCACCCATAACTGGTAACTTTTAGTACCACTTTCTTATTTGGTTCAATCATCCAATGGTATCTTCTGGTACCATTTCATCACTTTGTTAATCATAACGTGGTAGCTTCCAGTACCAATATACCAGATATCATTTAATCATTTATGTAGTAACTTATGGTACTACTTCATCAATATTCGTTTCCCCATCAATAAATTTGGAGAATTTATCAACTGTCTTTCAGGATCATGTTAGTCCATATAATATTCGTTCAAGACAAGTACTTTAATCGACTCTCACATGGCCATATAGTAAGTATCATTAATTTCATTCATCGGTTATTACTCAATTGTACTGCCCGTCCGCCGGCGGCAGATCCGCACTGGCCGGCCCATGTATATATATAGCCATTCAAAATTTAGTGCACATAGCCTTCATCTGGTCATTCCATTCACCGGCTATTATTAATTAATACACTGGTCGGTTCATTTAGCCGTTTACTACAATCTGTTGCTAATGGCTGCAATATTTGACCATTTCACATAGCTGTTCATAATATTTTGATCAACAATTGACATGTCGGCTACCATAAATATTACTTTCCGGAGAAAGAGCTGCACTAGCCGGTCCTTGTAGCCACACTTAAATATTTTCATATTACAAGGGTCAATACATAAATATTCACATGTTCATATATCAAATAATTTCCACGATATGAAAAATTCAAGTATTATAATCATACAATATAATAAACCATATCAATATTTGGAGCTTTCACTATTCCAAACATAATAAAATAACAAATAATTTTGATAATACTTATATTTTTTATATATATATTTAATAAATTCTTTCATTGAAAATAATGCCACTAAAGGATTTTTTTTTTCTATATCATTTAATGTCCATTTGTCCCCACTTCTTCAAATAATTGATCATATGTTCCACGGACAACCCCACTCTCCATGATACTTGCCTTTTGTCCACCCACAATTATTTTTGTTCATTTATTACTCTTCACAATTATCAACCTTATCTCACACCTCAAAGTCAAACAAACTTGCTTTTATATTTTCATTTTTCTTTTTTCACTACATCCATCTTCATCCTCTATACCTTCATTTTCCTCTTCTTTTCTCTTTTTCGGAATTTGCTACGCACATTTGCACCTTTTTGTTTTAAGACCCAAAATTCTATCTACCAATCTATTTCAATTTCCTTACTTGCTCTTCCTTTCAATAGCCATCAATCAATATAAATAATTACACAGTCTATGAATGGAAATCAATAAGTATGTAATTACCTCACATATTCGTGAAGACCCGACGACGGTGAGTTCTAGGCAGAGCTGCAACTTCACGGTGAACAGGACCAGATTGGTGGCGCAACAAGTTAAGACGTTCATAAAGACTTTTGGAGCAGATCCGCAATGTACATACATATATTATTATGCTAATTCTATGCCTTATCCAAATTATTATTTGTGTGGATGCTTGTAACTTGGAAGATGCAATTGAATTATTTTTCCTTTTTTTTTTTATATATATATATCCTTTTTTTTTTCTTTTCTTTGTCCATGTGAGGAGGTTATCAACGGCATCTCACCTTCATTTTTTTTTATATTATAAAAAAATATGAAATCAAGGGGGGAGAAGAAACACTTAGAGATGTTAAACGGGCTAGCTCTAGCGGTTACGGGCTAGCCCTAGCGGGCTTCGGGCTAAACGGTTCGGGCCTAAAAAGCCCGGATTTAAACGGGCTACCAATAAAAGGACCTAACCCTAACCCTAGCGGGCTTCGGGCTAAACGGGCTATGCGAGCTTTCAATAATAATATTAATAATAGTAATAATAATAATAATGATGTATCCAAAAATATCAAAAATAAAAAGAAAAAAATTATAAAAAATTACAACGACTAATTAACGATTGTTTTCAACGGTATTTAGTATTTGCCGCTCTATATATACAACTACACATCA